TCAGCCTTTCCTCACAGGGCAGATGTTTCAGATCCCTTTCAGCCTCGTAGGCCTGCGCTGGACTCTCTCCAGTAGTTGCATGTCCCTTTTGTAATGGGACATGGAACAAGATTAGCTTCGTTTTTCTACTACGTATTGTAGGAACAATGTGCGTGCTGTGTAGTAGACCTATTCAAGCAAAATTACCTTGAACTACGCTAACGTGTCACATCAGACAGAGCTTTTGATAAGCAGAACTTGCTCAGAACTTGCAAGAAGTTAAGGGGATGAGTGACAGGCTGAGGCCTGTCTTTTGGTCTCCTCATTTCTTATAACTCTGTCCAAAACCCATGGAACTTCAATTTCTGTCTTGGTTAGATTTCAGAAAACAAAGTATACCTAAATATTAATGAAAAAATTACAGCATGAACTTCTTAAGAGTGTTACAGCTTGCATGTCTTGCATTTGAGGAATTGTTTGTTATAAAAGACTGTGATGTTGAGGGTAAATTGCAAGCAAGTCCATATGAAGCTTAATGACAGCACGGTTGCTCTACCTCTTTGCAGATCTAAATAATGTTGCAGATCTAACTGTAGATCTGTTATAAGGTTTGCAAATAATTACAAGTTTGTCTGTATTTTACTGAAGTTCAGAAGCAAATCTTGAAAACAAAATTAATTTCCTTTTTCGTTCATACGATTAGTATACTTACAGTTATTAATGATTTAAATATGCTGCTGTTACCAGTGTGCTACTGATGTCCCCGAGATTTTTATTAAAAAAAATATATGCCTTCTTATAAGGTTTATTTTTCAGAAGGTGTAGAAGTCCCCAATTCTGCAACTTCTGTACTGGCTTAAGTAGCGCTCTTTGCATAGATCTGCTTCTGAATGAAGACGAGGATCTGAATTACTGATACATAGAAAATTTAAGGGTTTTTTTGTGTGTGACTTAGTGGCATCTTATTTTAAAATATTGCTTCTTAAATACTGGTTCTGATGTGGTTTGTGGCACGTCGAAAGATAACGGTGTTCTGTTGTTGCTGCATTTTTTTGTTGCATGCATTTATTTTTCCTATCTTTATGATTATCTTCTTTTTATTGTTTAAAAATATTTCACTTTTGAAAAGTGGCCTAGAGTTACTACTCTTTATGCTTTTAGTCTTTTGGTTTCCTGGTAAATTTCTTAAATCCAAAGCAGGACCCACTTCTTGTTTGCAAGGATTACTATCAATGTAAACCTTCTTTCTGAAACATCTAATAACTGCCAGCTCTGTAACATCTGCCTCTTCCCTGAAATCTGCCTGAAGTACATTTTTTTTTTTTTTTCTTAAGAAAGAAGGAACTTTTGCATTTATGTTAATTCTTATAATCAAAATGATTATTATTAAATCCATCAGACAAGAGAAGAACGGAAAATGGAAGCTATTCTGCAAGCTTTTGCCAGACTAGAAAAAAGAGAAAAAAGAAGAGAGCAGGCTTTGGAGAGAATCAGCACAGCAAAAACTGAGGTTAAATCAGAATGCAAGGAAGCACAGATTCTCAATGACACTGAATTTATTCAGGTAATTATGTGGAACCTTTATTTTAACATTAACATTTGACATATTGCCAAAATATGCTTTAAGATGTAGGAAATAATTTTTTTTTTGCCTGAACTCAAATATATTTGACCAAAATCTGTACAGTTTCCGTTGTTAAGCAGTGTTATGACTTTCAAGAAAACTGTATAGAATTTGTTAACGAGGAATGTCAGTTTCACAGGTTTATGCAAACACACACACATGCACAACTGCTTTGTAGTTCAGTGTCTCTTCCAAGTTCAAGATGGGAGGTGTTGAGATGCTGATTTTAAGCAAAGAAGGTGGGGACTTCCTTACGCACCCCCTGTAACCAGTAGAACGAGCAGGACATGCTTATTTAGTGGGTTTTTAAGGTTATAATCCTTTCTTTTCTCCTATAGAGACGCAAGCTTAGTTGGTCCTGAATTGCACTTGCAGAAGATACTTAAATTGTGTTATAGAAACAACTTATCCTTTCTGGATGCTGGTACACCTTATATATAGAATTGTTGCTCTTTGTCCTGCAAAGGCTCTCACAGATGCTCATGGTTTCATCTATTTCCCTGGATAAAGTATGTCAGCATGTTGCTAAGTATTCGTGTGACCATCATTAGTGTTCAGTTAACTATAGTGAATTACAGAAAGGTCACTGAACTCAAAGGTGTTAGGATGCAAATGGCTGATTTCTAGTCTGCAGATGAATAGATGCAGCACAGCAGATGTTGCACAAACTCAAGTAGTTTGAGCAGTGGCTAACTACTGCTAAACAATTAGTACTCTGTCTGGCAGGGATCCATCAGGTGCTTGGGTGGAAAGTACAAAGAATCTTATGTCTTGAAAGATAGAATTAGTAGCTCTGACATATCTCAGTTCTCGCTGCAGAAATGAGAAACTTTTCAGATTTCTGAAGAAGAGGAAACAGATTTATTTAGTGGACTTTGTTTTGTACCAGGAACCAGCAAAAGAAGAAACTGCCACCAAGCCTACCCCAGCCAAGGTGAACAGAGCTAAGCAGAGGAAGAGCTTCTCTCGGAGCAGAACTCACATTGGCCAGCAGCGCAGGCGGCACCGGACCGTGAGCATGTGTTCCGATATCCAGCCGCCTTCTCCCGACGTGGAAGTGACTTCACAACACAATGAAACTGAGAATGCTGCACTAGTGGCTGAGCCGGAAACAGAAACTGTTGTTACAGAAATGGTTACTGAAACAGAAGCTCCAGCACTTAATAAATGCCCTTCTAAGTATCCTAAAACAAAGAAGGTATGTCTCGTAGGGGGGGGGGGAGGATGGACTTAAACTACATATATATAAAAATCTGTTAAAGATACTGATGCAGCAGCAGCCTATATAGATTAAAAAAAAAAAAGTTTGATATATTTTTCTTTAAACATTACCATTATGTATTCTCTCACCGGTAAGCAATAAATAAGGTTTGTTTTACATCTCTCAGTAAACATTATTTTGGATGTAATGAAACTTTTAAGCATACTTTTCAGAAATTTGGAAAAAATACTTTCAAATGGAATTGACATAATATATGTTTAAAAAAAAAAAAGAAAAGAAAACCATACTTAAAGTTATTGGGTATTGGGGGAAAGCACATATGCTTGGCAGATACAAGTCTTCTCTTGCTTTATTCATTGTGTACTTGAGAATATATTTTAATGGTGGTGACCAAAATACCTCAATGGAAATTAGTAGCTTTTTGTATTTCTGATACAGCTGTTTCAAAATGAGTTGATTTAAACCTTTCAAAAATTAACATACTTTTGGGGGTACAGATGCTTAATTTTCATTAGCACACTGTTTCTAACAAAAAAAATTCTTAGAGTGCTTTGCACAGTTTGGAGAAGGACCACAGTATTAAAAGACATTCAGAAAAATCCCACTTCTGCAAAACTGAATAAAATAGTAAAGGCATTAAGAAACATCCACAGACTGCATTAGAAAATTCTGTTTTCTTCAGTATGCTTTACAAGTTCTCCTGAATACTTTGACAGGTATGAGTACTTTATTTGAAAGGCGGGGAAGGAAACAGAAGACTGATAACTAGCAGGCATTGAAACTTCTTGGCAAATGAGTACCATGAGGTAGAAATTACCATCTTAGAGCAATCCCTCCAAATATTAACCACATTTACATATTCTTTTTTTTTTAAGAAGGCAGTGGAGTCATGTGTAACTGCTTTATGGCATCACCAGATTTTATCAGAAAGGGGAACAGAATTTCCTTCTGCCTTTTTTTTGTGTTGCTTAGGTGCATCTGAAATGAAGATTTCTGAGAAATCTAAATTCTACTATTTTTCCTATTCTGTAATATTAAGGGTATATGTCTTGTTGCCTTGTACTCAGTGCATCTTCAGTGAAGAGGGAGAGTATGGATTTTAAAAAAATGCCTTTTGAAGGACCTGCATCTTCAAATTAAACATGATGATATGACAATATGTGCTAAAGTCTTAATACTTACAGATACTGTTTTGGCAAGTCTTTAACCACTGGGTTAGTTAACCAGTGGGTTTAGTTGTGTAAAAGGTTTTTTTAAAAAGCTCTGTCACCTCCCCAGCCCCTCCACTTACTTTAAGCTTCTTGGATTTTCATAAGCTTTGCAAATAAAATGAGATGTTGCATTCTACTTTGAATTGGTGTTCAAGCTGTTACAGTGCAGTGAATACTGGTATTTGTATTTCATTTCATTTCATTTCATTTGGAAGGAGTGGGTGGTACTTGCAAAAGTGTTCACTGCAAGTAGAAATCCAGATCACAGCTGAGACACAGCAGACATTTTGGTTTTCCTCCTCAGGTCTCTGTGTTAGAGAGAAGGGTTAAATCTACTCATTTTGAAAAGTTAAGACTTTGGGGGTGAATCTTGGAAGTATTTAGTTCAAAGACTTGTATACTGTTAAGAGTTCAGTTGCTTTACTTCTGGTTCCCCATTAGTAGGAACTAAAATCCACTGGCACTTTTTCAATGAAGAAGCCTCTTGAACCAGGTAGGAGAGAATATTCTTTTTTGATAAATGTGCCTTGGTAAATTTGTTGTAGTAATGTTAAGACTACAGCAGGGAAGAATGTTTAAGATGTCCTACCTGCCACTTGGAGAATCATGACATTATGGAAATCTGATAATGAGGAATTAACTTTGTTCAATTAATATGTCACTGTTTTCCCTCAGCTTAGATACTGAGGTTTGATGTTAAAATATATCCTAGAATTTTGTAGCAGAATTCACATCGTAAGCCTAATTGACCTGGGCATTTGTGTAGCATGTTAAGTGCAAATTAAACTAAATCTAAAAGGACTGAAATGGTCTCGGTTTATTCAAAATAAAACCTTCTTTATGCAGAACAAAACTACGCTGATTCCTCCTCCTATACCCTGTTACCTTGCCAGACTGTGCCTTACACTGTGACCCTTTATATTCTCAAACTTGCAACCTGGGAACCACCTGTTTTCTTACTTGCATAGTAGTTGATTAGATGAATAACCAAAGGCATCTCTAAATGTCACTGATCTAAACCACTCAGTAAACACTACATTTTCTTTCTCTTCGTTTAGCACTTGGTCAATGAATGGTTAAGTGAAAAGAGTGAGAAAACAGGAAAACCTACAGACAGTCTTCCCGAAAGGCCTCTGCGTATAACTACTGACCCTGAAGTCCTGGCAACTCAGCTGAATTCTCTACCAGGTCTCACTTACAGCCCGCATGTATATTCAACTCCAAAGCACTATATTCGTTTTACTTCACCGTTCCTTTCAGAAAAGAGGAGGAAAAAAGAAGCCATGGAAAACATTACTGGCTCTTGCAAGAAGGTAATGCTTCCCTTCATTTAATCTGGTTTTGAAATGAAAAGCAAATTTCTGATGGTTTCCCTTAACATATTGCTTTAAAAGTAAATCGTATTTACTAGCCTGAATCTGTGTAGAAAAAAATATTTTGACAAATGATTCTATCATAACACATTTAGAAATGCTTGTTTTTAAACTAAGGAATGACTAGTGTATTCTTATTACAGCGTTGGTTGAAGCAGGCTTTGGAAGAAGAAAATTCAACAACAATTGATAGATTTAATTCACCATCTCAAGAGGGATCTAGAAGCCCGGCCATCAATGGAGAAAATAAGAGTCCTTTATTGCTGAATGACAGCTGTTCCTTAACAGGTGAAGCTTTTACTAATAAAATATGTGAGCTTTGTCAAAGCAGATTTCATATCTATGAGACAATGTAAAGGAGGTTTCACATCTGTGAAGATATGTCATATCTATGAGACAATGTGTTCTTTAAAGGAACGAGGTTATAAAAATCCTAGTGGTAGTTGAACCATTTTCTGATCTATAATCTTTTGGACAGTTGTTTGAAAGAAAGGCATAGTAACATAGTGCTTTTTCCCTGAACTGTAACTAATAGTTACAGAAGACATATGTGATACCTAACAAGCGCTTACTGTTGTGATTCTTTACAGATGCTTACAGTCATCAAACAACTGATCATTTTGAGTGTAAATATAGAAGGTTAGGTTACAAATGTTTTGCAGGTGTTCTGCATATTCAGAATTGCCATTAAAGTCAGTGCTACAGTTGTGTACAGGAGGAAGGCTGTTTCAACAGCAGTACAAAATAGGAATATGCTAAAAGCTCTTAAGGATATGCTGTGTATTAGATGCATAGAAGTTAACACTTCCTTTTATAAAAGCTTTCTGGGAAACTGTGCTTCTCATTGTCCTAGCATGGAAAAGTTCAGATAGTGGTCTCTGTAGAATGTTTAAGAGTTTGTTTTTCAGGAAGTCAGGCCTTTTCAGATTTTTGTGGTCTTATTATAAAGTGGAGTTGATGATAATTTTATTGCTTCAAGTATTTAAGAAACACTTTAAGTGATTATCATGTCTAGACCTCTCTGTGCTCTCTTTATTTCCCCTCTAATTTTAACATACAGATCTAACCACGCCATTAAAAAAACGAAGACTGTATCAGCTATTGGAGTCTGCTTTCTCAGAAACGTCCACACCTACTCCTTCTCCATATGCCACCCCAACTCATGCCGACATCACTGCCACGGAGCCGTCGCTTTTCGCTACTCCACCGAGGATAAAAACGGAAGATGAAACTTGTAGAAATGGTTACAAGCCCATATACTCACCAGTTACTCCTGTAACTCCGTGTATACATGGAAATACCATGCACTTTGAGGTGAGGATTGTGGATTTCAGTATATGGAAATACTTCAATTACAGTATAAATCAGCAGCTGTACTCCAGTTACAAGTTTTATTTTTTTTTCCTTCCCTGCATTTATCTAGACTGAAAAAAAATAATTCATTATTTCTTCTTTGTTTAGAATATTTCCTCACCTGACAGTTCCCCAGAAGTAAAAAGGAGAGCTTACAGTCAAGAGGTAAGGATCTTAGCAGAAAACTACAAAGGGTCTCTTGTTCTCTTGATTTGACCTCTAGAGCTGCAACGTTCTTGGTTAGGTGCTTTTTACCAGATAATGTAAGTTTTCTGGAATGTAATGGGAGACTTCCCCTCTTGTTTTATTTATTCCTTACTATATTATTTCCATTTTCCTCTTCCATTTTCTATCTTAAACTGGATTTTCTCTCTTTTTTTTCTGTCTCACCTAAAAATCCTAATGGTTGTCCTTGACAAGCAAAAATTACTGTAATTTAGTAGTAAATGCAGGCAGAAAAAAAGGCTGGTATTTTAAAATTTACTTCTATTCTACTTGTACTATCTCTTCTTGATACCAGCATTTCTTAAACATTTTGACTGAGTCAAGTGAGGCTTACATGAGGAATGATAATAAGCCCTGTGTCCAAGGGGATTAGTTCAGGTGCTGGAATGTGCCCAGGCTGTTTCCTGGTTGGTGTGTCCTGTTGTTCTGCCCTGGGATGAATCACATGGTGGAACCACTAGAGGGCAATCTTAGCTGTGTCCAAAAGGGGAGAATATTAAAAATGCATCATGTAAACTCCACAATAGATACCCTGAATTAAAGATGATAATTATAAAACTTGTATTAAGGTGTCCAGCTGTAAGTCTAGCACTTAGAAGTAGGAGGTAAAATAAGTAACAATAAAACTGATGATATTTCTGAAGAAATTAAGTTCACTTTTTGATGAATTGCAAAGTCATAATCCAAATACTCTCTCCAGTGGATTAAGCCTTTTTTTTAATTCAACATTCTAAGTGTTGAAATACCTGTGTTTTTATGTGCTCGTAACAGTAGATTGAATTTAAGGTTTATTTTTAGTTGTATTTAATTGTTTGTTTGTATTTGAGTATTTTAATGTTTATCTGATAAAAAATAAAAAGACCGTTTTCCAATTGGGAATAATTCCTATATATTTTTAGGAGAAGAAAAAAAAAATCTTTAGCTTAAGGTAGGGAAGATACTTCTAGCTATGGCTATGTGCTGGGTTCTTCATGGTTACTACAATTATAGGAAGTACAAAAATCAGTTTCTGTAATTTCATTTTTTTTCTACAAAATACTGGCTTTAATACTGTCTTAAAATCCTAAGATGTCTTGGGAAGGTTTTGCCTTCTCTCCCCTCTTCTTCCTTACCCTGAAGTGTGTCATTGGTAAGGATCTCTTTCATTTAAGTGAAGCAGATGCTTTGTAACTTTTCTAGGCCAGAGATTTTTCTGTTAAAGCTTTTTCTCTCCTTCCTTTGCTAGGCATAAATAAAAGTTGATATTTAAAATTTAAGATAAAATTTTGCCTTTGATCCATATGCATTTCATTAAGGTGCTTTTATGTAATGTATAGATATAGCTGTAAATAAATGTCTGGTTATAGAGCTGACTCTTAAAGAAATTCACAGCATTAGGAGGTCTGAAATCTCACTGTAAACTATGACAATGTCAAAATAGGAAAACCTGTAATAGGGAAATATAATTGACATGCCTTTTTTTTTTTTTCTTTTTTTTAATGCAGGGATATGACAGAGCATCAATTCTAGCACTGAATTCTTTCAGAAGTTCAAATCTGACAGAAATGGGCCTGCAAGAAATCAAGACTATTGGATATTCCAGTCCAAGGAATAGGACCGATGTCACACGGCAGTGCACTGGAGAAATGGAATCTGTGTCAGACCTCCAGCTGGGACTCGAAGTAGTTGAGCAAAGTGCACTGCATAAAAACCTGGAAGCCCCCACACATGATAGGACTGATTCAAACAGCCAACTAGAAACTGCTCATTGTGGCCGGGGAACAATTTATTCTTCCTGGGTAAAAAGTCCCGACAGGACAGGTGTAAATTTCTCAATGAATTCTAATTTGAGGGACTTGACACCTTCACATCAGTTGGAGGTAGGAGGCGGATTCAGAATGAGTGAGTCAAAGTGCCTGATTCAAGACGATGCTAGAGGCATGTTCATGGAAGCATCTGTTTTTTGTACTTCAGAAGATGGAATTGCATCTGGCTTTGGAAGGGCTGTCAATAACGACAACTTAATGGACGGAAATTGCACACCCCAGAATCCTCCGCAAAAGAAAAAGGTTATGATTTTAAGAATCACTTGGTCTTTCTTACATACTCTGCTAATCATATTTCTCTATTGAAAAGCTCCATGCTAATTAAAAAAAAGAAAAAAAACGGGTGGGCTTGGGTGGTGGACACCCTGCTGATCAGTCTTTAGATATTGCAGCTTTGCTATTATTGAGGAGGAATTATGAAGAGCAAAGTCGCACATCCTTTAGTAAATGTAACTTTCCAATCTAATAGATAAAAATCCACTTTTACTCAGTTTTAATTTAATGTCACTTTATTTGAATCATAAATGACTTGCTCAATAATAAAACTTGTGTTTGGAAAATAAGCGCAATCCAAATTTGTAAGTCTCATCACCTAGAGCCTGTAGGTAAGTTACATGATCATGGAATCCATATTCAAAATTATCCTGCACAAATGCCTTGACTACCCTTTATTGTCAAGATAAATTCCCTTTTCTCACAGAAGGGATGACAAACATTGAGGATGGTGATGCCTAATACAATAGCTTATCTCTTCTATCTATTAACAGACTGCAATGATTTATTTATTTAAGAAATATGATTTATTTTCTTTGTGGAAGTAATGATCTGGATGGAAGGAGGAGTGAGTTTTTCAATTTCTCTGCTCTGCTATGGGGGGCATCTCATAATCGTTCTGTCAGAAATACTCCATGAGAACTAAAATTCCTTTTTCTGCTTAAAACTGAGGCACAGGTGAGGGTGGCACTAACTTTGTTTGTACCTGGTTTGCACCTGGAGAAACTTTATATATTTCATTGATGTTGCTGTAGCCAGGCCATTTTTGCAAAGCTAACTAACATCGAAGAAGCCACATTTTCTCCTTTTCATCTGAAGGTCATAAGTTTGTTCTCTTCAAATCCAAGCAATGCTCAATGCTTCAGTAACAGTCCCCTCCTGCCCCCTTCCCTTGCTCTCAAGGGCTCTTTCTTGGTTACTGCTCCTGGGGACTTGTGATTCATGGAGTGACCCCCAGGGAAGGAGGGGGGTGCTCCCCTCCAAAAGGCTGTTTGGGGAAAAACAGGGAAAACTATGGCTGTCCTTCTGGGGAAAAATATGATTTAGGCTTTCCAAGGATGAACAAAATTACAAAATCCCTTCTACTGTCTCAAAGGGAAAAAAAGGTCTCTGTAACTCTGTGGGGAAAGGGGAGAATTCAGGAATTTTTGGAGGAGGAGAATAATTAGAAGCCTTTGCCCAAAATCGGGTTGTCATGCATGTCTTTTTGCGCTTTTTCAAGGAAGATTTTCCAGATCTCCACGTTTTATGGGCATTTTCTCATTTATTTTCTCTCAGCACTGTGCAAATCTGTCTCGTTTTAATGACTGCTGTACTTAGTGGCAGTACTTTCTTTTCAAAAAGCACCCATAGATGTGTATTCATTCTTGTCCTTTGTGTAATATTCTTCAAGAAATACCAGCCATATCATGTGGAAATAGTATCAGTTGTTTCAAAGCAAGATCAGTTCTTAACCTGAACTTCCCGTATGAAAAATCAGGCGTTTCCAACTCCTGCTACCCTTCATACGGATTAGTCTTTACTGGACAGATCTGGGAATGGGGCCTCCTTGCTCTCCTCCTCCTCCCTACAGCTTCCCTACCCCAGAGCCGCAGGCAGAGCTGCCCTTGGGGCACGGGCTCCTCCTCGTGCGCACGTTGCCTCCCTCCCTTCTGCTCACCTGGATGGAGCACTTGGCCTCGCAGACTTGAGTCCCGTCCTTGCAGCACCTGAGCTCCTTGTTTGGGTGCTAGCGGGGTCAGGGTAGGTTGCTGCTAAGTGGAAGAACAGATAAGAAAGAACACGTTAAATGTAGCTTGCACAAAAAGAATTGTCTTGTGTTTAACAGATCGGATATTCAGGATTTCAGTTTTCTGCTTGAAGTCCTACAGATGCATAGTGACAACTTTATTTTTTCCACTGAAAGTAATTTTTTTAAGTTCGTAAACTGTTTTGTGTTATATAAAAGCTATTATGTAATAAGGCCTTTTTAAATATAGAAAGTAGAAACCAATCACTCTTTCACGTATTATTGTTTTTGGTAATAAACCATTTAACTCTAAATTTAGCAGCAAAATATGTTCTAAATCAATCTCTTTAGATTGCAGTTATTGATTTAGAGTGAATGGGGAAAAGAATGCAAGTTTCAGATTGCTTATATTGAGAAAAAAAAATCTGAAGAGCTTGGTGAGAACTTTAATCTGCATAATAATGGAGCTAAAGCCTGCTACATTTTTAACATGAGTTATTCAGATTGAAACCAGGATACAACATCTCTTAAAACTAGTGTTATTATATAAATATTCCTTTATTAGAAGTGTTGCAGTTGCAGAAATGCTGTGAATTCCTTTATATCTTCAACCAGCAGTGCAACTTCAGGAGGGAATTTCCCCATTTTTGCTACCACACATCAGCTTCTTCTCTGAGGCAAAATCCATACTTTCCTCTCTTACTTTCTTTCCTTTGCATCTTTCTCTTAGCTACTACGATGTAACAGACTGTAAATCCACCACTAATGTGGTGAAAAATCTTCAGTTGGTTTACCCCTTCCTTTTTCTTTAGAACCAAGGAAATAGTGGGTCCTCCTGAAAGTATGTGTTTAACTTACTGCCCCGCAAGTCCCTGAAGGAAGCAAGTAAACTTTCTCTCTGACCTTTGCTCCATAGGTATCCTTACTAGAATACCGTAAGAGACAGCGGGAAGCTCGGAAGAGTGGCTCAAAGACGGAGAACTTTCCCCTGGTGACTGTGTCTCCCCATGCTGCTGCTGGAGGAAGCCTGAGCAGTAACAGCGGTGCTAGCGACGGGTTCAGCAACAGCGGGGAGAGCGGGGAGCCGTCGGAGAGCGCGGCGGGGCTGCCCGTGCCGCTGCCCGCCGCCGCCTACAGCGCGGCTCCGGAGGAGGCTGCCAGCAACGGTGCCATGAAGGAGGCTGCTTCCAGCGACAAGAATGAACCAGAAGTTCAGTGGTAAGCAGCACAACTTGCAAAAGCACTCTCTGTTTCGAAGAGCCTGTTGTATTGGAAACGTGTAATGCAGAACAGAAGCCTGCTCTGAGGGGGGAGCAGCAGTTCCTCTGGGCAGGGGCCACGTTCCTGTAGGTGATAAAACCACACGGTGTACGGAAAATGACCCCGCTGGGTGCGTGTGCTCCTTCCACAACTGCTCAGTGCAGGCAGGGAAGGGAGCCGCAATATGGTGGAAAGAGCCTGGGCTGTTTAAAAAATATGTGTATATATATATTTTTCCAGCTTTTGAAGAAAAGAGTTTTTTAGAAGTGGTGAATATGAAACAGTGTGTGAAGTCTCCATTTCTAAAATGCAGCTTTTGGTGTTAGATTTGTCAGCTGTTTATGCGCAGCAGATTTGTGAATGTCATTTTCATATTCACATAAATTTTCAGGTTTCTTAATGCAACAGTGTTGCAGGAAAACAATATATTAAACTACATTAAAATCAGATGTACAGGACAAGAATATCAAATGGAACCTATTTCGCAAGTGACATTTCTTAGGTAGGACCAGGTTGGCTCTTTTGTGTAGTCAACACAGTAAACTTTCTCTAGCCCTATATTTACATATGTATCCTCTCCCAAATTTGGTATGTGGGAGTAGCTTCCTTAAATACAAATTATGCTCCTCTCTTCAAGGACTGCATCAACGTCTGTGGAACAAGTGAGAGAACGAAGTTACCAGAGAGCTTTACTTCTCAGTGATCATAGGAAAGACAAAGACAGTGGTGAGTTGATTGTTATGTCAAGGGTGGCTTCATGTAAGCAGTCCCCTGGTGGTAGTCCTGGATCATTCTAATACTGTGTTTGGGTCTCCTTCATCTGTAGGAGGAGAATCACCTTGTAGCCCATGCTCACCGTCTCATGTTCAGTCTCCACCTTCATCTCATTCAAATCTCATTTCCCAGTTGCAGCTTAAGGTCCCTTCTTTCACTGAATTTTTGGAAGGTCAGTAAGCAGATGACCTTGTATGACACTTGACGCATTGAATAGTCTCTTTCAACAACTTGAAGTAGCACTTTAGAGTCAAATGTAAAGTGCATAGCGGTCTTTGCAGAAGAGTTGTGGCTGTTTTTTTTTTTTTTTCCTGCTTTCATGTTTTTCTGCTTTATGCCTGTAGAACCTGATCCTGAAAACCCAGAGCCCACTTCTGAATGTCCGTCCCCAGATACTTCACAAAAGACTTGCAGGAGTCCTTCAAAAGCAAGCAAGGTGAGTGAGCGTGTAACTGCTTGGAACTGTGTGGATGTGTTGCTTAATACACCTACTAATACCTGCACACATACACCTTGTGTTTAATTTGCATGTGTTTCCTTTGTGATTTAATTCTTTAAGATGGACATATGTGCATGTGAGCTTTCTGTTAAATATTTGTATGTTCATATCATTCAGATGCTTACATTAATGGCAGTTCATACATGCTAAAAGCTTGGTTTACATCTTGTTGTTTCTATAGGGTATTTATCTGTATGTAATCTTGCATTCTGCACACACACAAGAAAATATTTCTGTGGATTCAGTGTCACCACAGTTGTGCAGGTTGACGCTGAAGAACTGGCAGCCAGTGCTGACAGTAGTGATGTGCTTCAGCTACTCCTTACCTAGGCAGGAGTCTGCTCCTGCTGTGTCAGAGTTTGGCACTCTGTCAACTGAGGCATTGGTGTGGAGAGAGTAGCTGCCCGAACAGTATTAAATGCAGTAATTCAGGTTGTGACGTTCAGCCAGTTTGTTCACATTATCCCCATTTTAAAATGTTAAATCTCACTTAAAAGTTGTTTTGTGAACAGCCTAGATTTATTCCAACTCAGAAATCTAAACTTTAACAAGTAATCTAGACTCCGGCTTAGACACGAAAGGTGATGTTTCTGTTACTGCTTCACAATGTTTGCTGATTTTTAACTTAAAAAGAATATTTTTCATATGCTGGTTAAAAAACAGTGTCTGTACAAAGTTTTAGCTTCCTACGATTTTTATTTTTTCATGCACAAAATAAATACTTGATGCCATAAAGATAACACTATTCTGAGACCATTCTTTTGGTTTTAACTTAAGTGTTTTGACTGTTTATACTGATTTCTTTCCCTTCTAGCCTTCTTCCCCGAGTCCTGTAGTTTCAACGCAGTCGCTTGGGAAAACGACCACAAAAGCAGATTCGCACTGGGAAACTGCAGCCACTGCCCCGGAGGCCGAGAGTGCGAATCAGCCGAAATCGGAGCTGCAACAGAAACAGCTGACAAGTAACGTCCAAGCACTTTCAAAAAACCACCCCTCTCAACCGCACCTGCGCGCTTCGGCTGAGCAGCTTTCCCATGCGCAGAAGGTGCCGTCTGCACCCCTCAAGCTGCATTGTCCCCCTTCGCCCCACGTGGAAATCCCTCCCAAGCCCTCCACTCCGCACGGCCCCGGGCAGCACGGTTACCTGTCGCCAAAGCCTCCCTCGCAGCC